TATTGGACACAACTTAGGGATCTGGTCTAGAATCCATGAAAATCCAAACCAAAGCTCGCATATTATAGACATCAGCCATAACCATACCGCGTCCTCGTTAGGATTTCGGATCCTCCAAGTTAGAAAAAAACATAGCACGACAAAACGAATGGCGATTAATAATCTGTACGGACTAATGATGGCGGCTGGGATTGGGATTCGTCGGCTCAATGGCCGCCATGGCTTGTCAGCTGTTTCCACCATGCCGCCTCTCATTCCTTCATCCATATCATCGCCATACATTTCGTCTTGAGGCCAATACGCATTACCGTAACCATATGTGCCTTGCGTCTCGAATAACCATCTGTTGTGATCAAATTCACCGTTTTGGTTCCTCTTCATCATAGACATGTTGTTGTTGTTGCCACGTTGATCTTTCCCTGGAGCTGGTAAGGGGAGAGCACCACTAGAAAAATCAGGCGTATCGTCATCTAGGTCCCCGATTTTGTATTGTTCCTTGCATCCTGGACAAAGACCTGTCTCTTTCTGGGCGTCCATGAAGCAATCCCTACAGATCTTGAACCTAGACAATCACCGTGTTTGTTGGTTGGTTAGAAACCTCGTTTTCTTGAGCAACAAGTAAAAGATATCAATTAATGTTTATTAATACCGGCATTCACATGGCATCACGTCCTTTCCTCTCTCGTCTTTCATGACTTTTCCGTCGCAAGCAGGCATGGCACACGAGGAGCCTTTAGCGCCAGCCATCTGAGGGTGTGTGACATCTGAATCGATGACTTTGTCCATAAGATGTGCACGTGTTACACTGTTGAAACCACCAGTAAATAAAGAATTGGACACGTATTGCTCTTCGGCTTTGGTGGCCATGGGCTGATTGTCCGGCGTCGGAGGTATGTGCACCGTATAGTTAGAATAGTCCCCAGAGAGCTCGCCTGATAATTCAATATTATCTCGAGATAAACTCACATATCGTCCGCTAGATGTTCGTCTTGCAAATTTGACGGTTTGGCCGCTACCGGAATTGTTACGGACCTTTTTAGAAGTTTGAGAGGGTGTGGACGCCATTGTGAAGCCAAACAAAGGAGCTTGGTTTCTGCGTGAATCAATGTGATCATGCAGTATAAAGATGAAACGTGAGTTTTTTTTACCTTCTTGTTGGTTTTGGGAAAACAAAGAGAAAGATAAGGAGGAGAGGATTATCAGGACATAAAACTGTTTATGCCATGGATCTCTATTTTTGGGCTTCTTTGTATCGTGTATTAAACTAGCTATTTTTGTAAGCTCAAGGGTTTTGTTGTTTATTCTATTTTGGGATTTTAACGTTTTCTTTCTTTCTTTTTATTTAACTCAATGATTTTATTGTGGAAACCCATTCTTCGCTCATCCAAGGCGATGGAAAATTTTCGTACTTTTTATATTTTATTAAACTATTAACTAGAGAAATGATCCTTATCGTTTGAAATATATATATATATATATATTTTTTTTTTTTGGCAACTATTGTCGTTACTATTTAAAATGTGGATTACTACATAATTTGATATTGAATAAGATTAGATATCCTTAATTCTGTCAATACACAAACATTTTGAGAAGCTATATCTAGTATATATATATATATATATATATATATATATATATATATCTAAATTTTTCGGGAAAATATCTACATTTAGATAATTGAACTTATCTACAAACCCGATGATCTTATTGTGAATTAATCATATACCGGAATTAATAAGGAATGATGTTAATTGGTATTAATTGTACTGTTTCGCTTTAAAATTTGAAGAACTTAACCCAATTAGACTAGTTATATGAACCGACGTAGTATATATATCAAGTACAATTAAAGGAGCTAATGGTTAAATGGTAGCTTTCTTATAATAGTTTTGGAAATTTTATTAAGTAAAAGCTATATAAACTAAGAATGGTGCATGATTTAATTGAGAGAAAGAATAATAGCTAAATGGATGGAGTTAGTTTTTGTATAAACATACAAACACTGTTTGGCTACACAATTTACTGATAGTACATGGTACAATAGTGGAATGAAGCATCAAAAATATACGTGCGAGACGTAGGTTCAAAGGGGTTATGTTTCGGGACTAGAGAGACGTGTATAAAATTGTTGGACGTCTGTTTCAGAGCACACGAGAATATCTGAACGTCCACAAACGCAAATGTTAAGGTCTAGCTAAGCTTATGCATAAAATTGGCGGTAGAAAATCACGATAACATATCTCGTAGGCCTGAAGTAAACTTGTTTGATCACGAAGCACCATCCAAAACTCGTATGATGATCCCATGAAACTTTGAACCATTAAATTACATTTTAACATATCAAGAGAATGAGAGAGATGCTGTCTAGTGAGGTTGAACAGACAATATTGGGAAGAATACTGAAGAGAAGCTGTCTAGTGAGGTTGAATAGATAAAAGTATAACGTACTGCCCAAGCCTCTGTGGTCTAGTGGCAGAGGAAGCTTTGGTGAAGGATGAAATTCCCAGACCCGAGTTCGATTCTCCCTGGAAACAAAAACACATTTGTGTGGTAGTCAAAAATGCAGGTGACCTGACTACCCCGAAAAGTATTCTAAACTCGGATCAGATAGTGTGGTGGCCCAATTCTACCTGGATCGGAAGAAGTCCACTCTGTATCACCTCGATGCGTTTCTACTTTCTACCGAGGCCGACCGAATCAGCCGATAAGGTTTATAAAAAAAAAAAAAAACTATAACGTACTAGTGTTTTTTTTTTTTTTTTTTTTTTCTGTTATTGATAGTTTCATGTAATAGTACTGTTGATGGAATTTGATAACGTTCGTTACAATATGTTCACGGATTTCCTAGGTTTCTGAATATACTTTCTTGGTTTTGGAAACGCGTTAGTAAGGAATCAAGGCCAACAATTTTGGTGACATTAATTCGTGTATATAACTCTTGGTAACGATGTTAAAAACCACTTAAATTTTTTTTTTTTTAACTCTGAAACGGTGAATTTAAACGCTAACATCATGTTAAATTGATTAATGAAATAGTTGGAGATCTTTTTATTTTGTAATCGAATAGTAGGAGATTTAAATATTTGTTTTTCCCTATGGGTTATTAAATTATACTAATATATATATACATTTTTGGATCACAATTAGCAAATAAATCCTGAAGTTGAGAAGTATTTACAATGGCATGCCATTAGCATTAATTATTTAGATTTGTTTTATTTAAGTAAAGATTTTTAAATGAAATTCATTTCTCATATATTTAGCAAAAGTTTCTACAAAATCTTTCCTTATTTATTTAAGTAAAGATTTTGAAATCAAATATGTTCTCAACAATTTACCAAAAATCTCTACACAATCTTTTTAAAAATCTCGACTTAGTTAACTTCTGATTTTTATCTGCAAAAAAGAAAAAAATTAATAGTAACGAGTGATGTAAAAATCGGGAATGTTGATATTACAATTTCTTCTACCTTTTTTTTTTCATATAATGAAAATTATTTTTTAGGGATACTCTCTCAAAACCTCTAAATAAAACAAGAGAAATTGTTAAAAATGCCCCTTTTTCAATACCCCTTTTCAAAAATGCCCCCTTTGAGAGTCTATTTTTAAGTTTGCCCTCTTTTAATTTTTAATGACTATTTTACCCTTATTTGAAACAAAATTAGGTCCACAAAATACAAAATATTTTTTGGCGGGAAAAGTGATCCCGCAATTTTCCCGCCAAAACACTTGTAAAAACCTTTAAAAAACCTTGTAAAATTTTCCCGTAAAAATTTTTCCCGCCAAAAAATTTTCCCGCCAAAAAATTTTTTTTACGGGAAAAGTGATTCCGCAATTTTTTTTGCGAAATTTTTTTGGCGGGAAAATTTTTGGCGGGAAAAATTTACAAGGTATTTTAAAGGTTTTTTACAAGGTATTTACAAGTGTTTTGTAAGGTTTTACAATGTATTTTAAAAGGTTTTACAAGGTACTTTAAAGGTTTTATAAGGTATTTATAACTTGTAAAACCTTATAAAAAACTTGTAAAACCTTATAACTTGTAAAAACCTTATAAAATAGCTTGTAAAATCTTATAATATCTTATAAATATCTTGTAAATACGTTGTAAAACCTTTTAAAATACATTGTAAAACCTTATAAATACCTTGTAAAAAACCTTTAAAATACCTTGTAAATTTTTGGCGGGAAAAATTTTCCCGCCAAAAATTTAACGGCAAAAAAATTGCGGAATCACTTTTCCCGCAAAAAAAATTTTTTGGCGGGAAAATTTTTTGGCGGGAAAAAATTTTACGGGAAAATTTTACAAGGTATTTTAAAGGTTTTACAAATTTTTACAAGTGTTTTGGCGGGAAAAATTGGGGGATCACTTTTTCCGCCAAAAAATATTTTGTATTTTGTGGACCTAATTTTGTTATATTTCCTTATATATTTATGATATCTTTTATTAAAGAAGGGTAATTTAGTCATTTTGTACATAAAAGGGGTATTTTTAAAAATGGACATCCATAGGGGGCATTTTTGAAAAGGGGTATTGAAAAAGGGGTATTTTTGTGAGTCTCCCATAAAACAAAAGGTTTCAAAAGATAGCTTCTCTTTTGGCGGGTCGACACGCAAACCCGCAACTCTCTACGGGCTTATCCGCATGAACCTGCAACCCGTAGTGGATAAAAATATTATTTTAAAAAAATAACAAATGATGTTTAATTTTACGGGACGGGGTTATATGGTGCAACGGGTTTAGATCGATATTAATATTAAACAATATACTATGGATGAAATCTTAGAATTAAAAATCAAAATTTAATTATAAAATCAGAAATACTAAACAAAATAAACAATATTAACAAAACAAATACAACTTAAAATTTTGCTAAATAATTTTTTAGTTATAAAAAAAATCGATCCGCGGTGTACCGCGGGGATAAAATCTAGTAATTAAACAAATACAAAACGCTGAAAGGTAAGAAATGAAGAAACGCAGCGTTTCGTTTTGACAAGGTCCCCGGTTCTGGGTTGGCCTTTTATCATTTTGAATTGCCGTGAAAAGTCGAATGTGTGTTAGATCCGTCGGTGATGTCGTCGTCGCAGAACCTTGGTGGCGCCACGAGATGCGGCCGGGTGATTGGGCCATCTTTGGACAAGATCATCAAAAATGCCGCCTGGCGCAAGCACACCTTCCTTGTTTCCGCCTGTAAGTCTGTCCTCGACAAGCTCGAGACTCTTTCTGATTCTCCCGATCCTTCGTCGCCTCTCTTCGGTCTCACCACCTCCGATTCAGATGCCGTTCTTCAGCCACTCCTTCTCTCTCTTGATACCGGCTACGCCAAGGTTATTGAGCCTGCTCTCGATTGCTCTTTCAAGCTCTTCTCTCTCTCCCTTCTCCGGGGCGAGGTCTGCTCCTCTTCCCCTGATTCTCTTCTCTACAAGCTCATCCATGCGATCTGCAAGGTTTGCGGCATCGGCGAGGAGTCTGTTGAGCTGGCGGTCCTTCGTGTCCTCCTCGCCGCCGTCAGATCTCCTCGCATCCTAATCCGTGGCGATTGTTTGCTCCATCTAGTCAGGACCTGCTACAATGTGTATCTCGGCGGATTCAACGGGACCAACCAGATCTGCGCTAAATCTGTGTTGGCTCAGATCATGCTCATCGTCTTCACCAGATCCGAGGCCAATTCTATGGATGTATCACTCAAAACGGTTAATGTCAACGACTTGCTTGCCATCACGGATAAGAATGTCAACGAAGGGAACTCTGTTCATATTTGTCAGGGATTCATTAACGACGTTATTACGGCCGGGGAAGCAGCTCCTCCTCCGGATTTCATGCTAGTCTTGCAGGGCCAATCACCAGACGAAGGTGCTTCTTCAACTGAGGATGTGGGCACAAGCAAGATCATGGAAGACGGTTTCCTTCTCTTCAAAAACCTCTGTAAGTTGTCTATGAAGTTCTCGTCACAAGAGAACACCGACGATCAGATTCTTGTGAGAGGCAAGACTTTGTCCCTCGAGTTGCTCAAAGTCATCATTGATAACGGCGGCCCAATTTGGCTCTCTGACGAAAGGCAAGTTTTATCTTTCATTTCACAGGTTACATTCCTTGTACAATGCTCGTCTCTCAGTATTAATGAACTCCAAGAGCTTACTCTCCCTCCCAAAAATATGCAGGTTTCTAAATGCCATCAAGCAGTATCTCTGCCTGTCTCTGTTAAAGAATAGCGCACTCTCGGTTATGTCTATTTTTCAACTTCAATGTGCTATCTTCACTACCTTACTACGGAAATATAGATCGGGTATGAAATCAGAAGTAGGTATATTCTTCCCGATGCTTGTCCTCCGGGTCCTTGAAAATGTTCTCCAGCCAAGTTTCGTGCAGAAAATGACCGTGCTCAGCTTACTCGAGAACATTTGCCACGACCCAAACCTAATCATTGACATATTTGTGAACTTTGACTGCGATGTGGAGTCTCCGAACATCTTCGAAAGGTATTGGCAATTTCTTATTTTATATCTCCCCAAGATTGTTTTTGGTTTCTTTTTCCAGAATAGCATTCCAGATGTTGTCAGATTACAATTTTTAGCTGAAACTTTTAGAGACTGATCAGGCCACCAGGGTAGCCTACGCGGTTCATATTTGTATTCCATTAGTGGTATTGTACTTTAGTAAAATGTATTAAAGCTCTTATAATTCTATCAGATGTTTGCAGGATTGTCAACGGTCTTCTGAAAACTGCTCTAGGGCCTCCTCCTGGTTCATCAACAATATTGTCCCCAGTCCAGGATATTACTTTTCGGCACGAATCTGTGAAGTGCTTGGTTAGCATTATTAAGGCAATGGGAACATGGATGGACCAACAATTGAGCGCGGGAGAATCACTTCTGCCTAAGAGCTTAGAAAATGAAGCACCTGCAAACAATCATTCAAACTCAAATGAAGAAGACGGGACAACTACAGATCATGACTTTCACCCAGATTTGAGTTCAGAGTCATCAGACGCTGCAACTCTTGAACAAAGGAGGGCATACAAAATTGAACGCCAGGTCTTATGTTATTTCTTTTTTATGAAATGTGAATTTCTATTACAAAATGGAACATTGTTATTTACATATGCTCTGGGGCAAGGAGCTTCTATGACCAAAAAATATTAAAAAGTCATAGCTACTACAACATACTAAGTAATTTAGAAGATACTTAGGATAAATTAGACACGGGAGAACCATTGAGCGAGCAGACGTCGACATCCTTTGCGGTAACTCGAGCTAGGAGAGTGTATATTATGCTCCGGGTCATATATTGCATCACAAAAGAAAAAATATTGTCCGTCCCATTCGGTGATATTAGTAGAATTGTTTTTCTCTTCGGTTATGTTAGTTCCCTTTATCATCTTTCTTGGTTTATATGCAGAAAGGCGTCACTCTATTCAATAGAAAGCCGTCAAAGGGTATTGAGTTTCTTATCAGCTCTAAAAAGGTTGGCAACTCCCCGGATGAGGTGGTGTCGTTCCTGAGGAATACCACAGGCTTGAATGCAACCATGATTGGTGATTATTTGGGTGAAAGAGAGGAGTTTCCGATGAAAGTTATGCATGCCTATGTGGACTCGTTTGATTTCAAGGAGATGAATTTTGGTGAGGCAATTAGGTTTTTCTTAAGGGGCTTCAGGCTTCCTGGGGAAGCACAGAAAATTGACCGCATAATGGAAAAGTTTGCTGAACGCTTTTGCAAATGCAATCCAAATTCATTCAGCAGTGCTGACACAGCATATGTTCTTGCGTACTCTGTAATAATGCTTAACACTGATGCCCACAATATCATGGTTAAAGAGAAGGTTTGTCTTCATGGCTGTCACAATTTATTCAATCCATGACTAGTTAGCTTTTGGACTGCATCTGCATGTATTAACTTTTCTGGCTATTTCTGTGCTCAGAAAATTGCTTTTGAAATATTCTATATTGGAGATGCTTTTTGGTGTAAGGTATTTACAGTGTATTTTACGTCTGCTTTCTGGTTTATGACAATCAGATGACCAAGGCTGATTTTATCAGAAATAACCGAGGCATTGATGATGGCAAAGATCTCCCAGAAGAGTATCTTGGTGCGCTTTATGACCAAGTTGTCATAAATGAAATAAAGATGAGTTCTGATTCTTCTGCTCCAGAAAGCAGGCAGTCCAATGGCCTGAATAAACTACTGGGTCTGGACGGTATACTCAATCTGGTTTATTGGACACAGACAGAAGAAAAAGCGGTGGGGGCTAATGGTCTTCTTATAAAGCATATTCAAGAAAAGTTCAGGTCGAAGTCTGGAAAATCAGAGTAAGCTCATTTACCTTACTTAAGGTCTAGTGTGAACAGATGCTTAGGCTCTTAATTCTTTGGAGAGGGGCAGGAGACATATCACTAGGTAGTAGTGATTAGAAAATGGTGTTCTAATGCAGGATTTTATCGACTGATTGTTCGTAGTATGATGCTGCTGAGCGATACCTGCAACATTAGCGAACTAAGATGAAACCAGCGTTTCCTTAAACGTTAATAAACCCTACTTACCCTTTAATTTACCTTGTTCATTGTTTGTCTCTGAAATTATGTATTCCTGAGAAACTATCTTCTTTAAAAGATTAAGATTGACATATACCATGGACGAATGTTAGGATCTGGAGTCATATCATTGATCTCATAAACTGGATTCTTTTTTTGGTCTTGTAGATCAGCTTACCATGTAGTCACAGACGTTGCAATATTGCGTTTTATGGTTGAAGTTTCCTGGGGACCAATGCTTGCCGCATTCAGCGTGACACTTGATCAGAGTGATGACAGGCTTGCTGCAGTTGAATGCTTACGAGGCTTTCGGTATGCAGTTCATGTGACAGCAGTTATGGGTATGCAAACGCAAAGAGATGCATTTGTCACTTCCATGGCCAAGTTCACAAATCTCCATTGCGCAGGAGATATGAAGCAAAAGAATGTCGATGCTGTTAAAGTAAGTTTCTTCTTATTAAAATCGTTGTTCAGAATGAAGTTGTTCCTCTCTGTATTTTCTTTCCTCGCATCTGGTTTTCAATGTATAAGAACAGAGAGATGAAGCATTCTGAGGCATACTGACCTAAATATATCACATGTTTCAATTTCTGTTTCCACAGCTTTTAGTGTCTGTCTCTAGTATAAAGCTTCTCCCTCGCTTGATGGAGAGAAGCATGTGTGATTCACCTCTTCATAACTTCATTATTGCTTCTTATGTTATTCAGGCCATCATATCAATTGCCATTGAAGATGGTAATCACTTGCAAGATGCTTGGGAGCACATTTTGACTTGTCTTTCAAGAATAGAGCATTTGCAATTATTGGGTGAGGGTGCTCCAAGTGATGCATCTTATTTTGCTTCATCCGAGACCGAAGAGAAGAAAGCCTTGGGGTTTCCTAACTTGAAGAAAAAAGGAGCCCTCCAGAATCCGGTGATGATGGCTGTGGTTCGAGGGGGCTCATATGATAGCAGCGCAGTTGGACCAAATATGCCGGGGCTTGTGAAGCAGGACCAAATCAATAACTTCATTGCAAACTTGAATTTGCTTGACCAGATCGGGAGTTTTCAGTTGAATAATGTATATGCTCATAGCCAGCGGTTGAAGACTGAAGCCATAGTAGCATTTGTTAAAGCTCTATGCAAAGTCTCTATGTCAGAACTGCAGTCTCCTACGGATCCTCGAGTGTTTAGCCTCACAAAATTAGTTGAGATCGCGTAAGAATTTCTTCTTTTGACACTCTCTTTAGAACACATAGAATGAGAAATGGACATATTGAATACATCTCATCTTGGCTACTGAATTGGATATCGAGTGAGCACCATGATAGTCTAATAAGACGTCAACTTATTATTTACATATCTCTTTTCTTGCTGTACAGCCACTACAACATGAACCGCATCAGGCTAGTCTGGTCTCGCATTTGGAGCATCCTGTCAGATTTTTTTGTATCTGTTGGCTTGTCAGAGAATCTTTCTGTTGCAATATTCGTTATGGACTCACTACGACAACTGTCTATGAAGTTCTTGGAACGTGAGGAGCTGGCAAATTATAACTTTCAGAATGAATTTCTTCGACCATTTGTCATTGTTATGCAAAAAAGCAGTTCTGCTGAAATAAGAGAACTAATAGTTCGGTGCATTTCTCAAATGGTACTCAGCCGTGTCAGTAATGTGAAATCAGGGTGGAAAAGTGTTTTCAAGGTACATAATGTTTTCCTAGCATCTGCCTGTTTGTGAATATACAGTATATGATTAAGGTTTAAGAGGAAAAACATTCAACCTAGAATACTATGCTGAGTAGTTTATCTGCTCGTTTTTTTTTAAGACGCGCTCTAGTGGTCGACATGTTTTACTGAGTGGCCAGTTTCTCCTTTCAGGTTTTCACAACTGCAGCAGCTGATGAAAGGAAGAACATTGTATTGTTGGCCTTTGAGACAATGGAAAAAATTGTCCGAGAGTACTTTTCATACATCACAGAGACGGAGGCAACAACCTTTACTGATTGTGTTAGATGCCTCATAACTTTCACAAACAGCACGTTTACCAGCGATGTTAGCCTGAACGCTATCGCGTTTCTACGATTTTGTGCCCTAAAACTTGCAGACGGAGGCCTTGTGTGGAATGAGAAGGGTAGGTCCAGCAGTCCCGGTACTCCAGTAACAGATGACCATGCACCAAATACCCAAAATTTTATGGATGCAGATGAGAATATTTCATATTGGGTTCCTTTGCTCACAGGTAATCTATTTTTAATAATACTTCTATTTAAATGCGTCAACAAATTATGAGCATCTAACATTTTTCGAATTCACATATGCCATTGCTAATATGTCCAACTTGGTTGAATTTACATTCTAATCAAAACTCTGTTATATTCATTACAGGATTGTCTAAGCTAACTTCTGATTCCAGATCAGCAATCCGTAAAAGCTCCTTGGAAGTGCTCTTTAATATTTTAAAGGATCATGGCCATATTTTTTCACGAACATTCTGGATCGGCGTTTTCAGTTCTGTTATTTATCCTATATTTAACAGTGTGTGGGGCGAGAATGATCTGCTTTCTAAAGATGAACACAGTTCATTTCCATCTACATTTTCTCCACATCCTAGTGAAGTTTCTTGGGATGCTGAGACTTCAGCTATGGCGGCACAGTCTCTGGTAGACCTATTTGTCAGCTTTTTTACTGTGATAAGGTCTCAACTTTCAAGTGTAGTATCCTTACTTGCTGGTCTTATAAGAAGTCCAGCTCAGGGTCCTACAGTAGCTGGAGTTGGCGCGTTGTTGCGGTTGGCAGATGAATTGGGTGACAGGTTCTCGGAAGATGAGTGGAAGGAGATTTTTTTGGCTGTGAAAGAAGCTGCTTCATTGACATTGTCTAGTTTCATGAAAACACTGAGAACCATGGATGACATTCCAGATGAGGACTTTAGTAATGAAGATGACGTCGACGAGGACAGCCTGCAAACTATGTCTTATGTTGTTGCAAGAACAAAGAGTCACATAGCCGTCCAGTTGCAAGTTGTTCAGGTATGTACAAAATGTTATACGATGCAATTAGATGCCAAGTTGTCTTTTTTTTTTTTTTTTTTTTTTTGTCAAAACAGATGCCAAGTTGTCTAATAGCAACAAATGTGAAGAATGAAAATGTTAAAAAAACATTGAAAAGCCATACAAAAATGAATCTGGAAATGTTGTAGGCTTTAATTTTGCCTTACTCCAGAATAATGATCTAACGCCATCTCTCACTACTCTATTTTCTCCTGTTTTCAGGTAGTGACGGATCTCTACCGAATCCATCAGCAGTCATTGTTGGCATCGCACGTCACTGTTATACTGGAGATACTCTCATCAATCTCATCACATGCCAACCAGCTAAATTCTGATTTGATATTGCAGAAGAAAGTGAGGAGAGCGTGCTCTATCCTGGAGCTCTCTGAACCTCCCATGCTTCATTTCGAAAATGACACGCATCAGAACTACCTGGACATTCTTCAAGCCATACTGACATACAATCCAGGAGTGTCCTTGGAGCTAAACATAGAGGCTCAGCTGATGACAGTGTGTGTGCAATTACTGAAGATGTACCTGAAATGCACTTTGTTTCAGGGTGAGGAGTTGGAAGAAACCAGGCAGCACAAAAACTGGATTCTACCCATGGGAGCAGCATCGAAGGAAGAAGCAGCAGCGAGATCTCCCCTAGTGGTTGCAGTGCTGAAGGCTCTGAGGGGACTGAAAAGAGATTCATTCAAGAGGTATGCACCAAATTTCTTCCCATTGTTGGTGGAGCTTGTGCGGAGCGAGCACAGCTCTTCACAAGTCCCACAAGTCTTAAGCACAGTGTTCCATACATGTATGGGTGCAATGATAGATGAATAGAATAGGGTGGTTATAAGTGCGCTGAATTTTGACATTCGACGGAGATGCGAGATTTACAGGTTTTGTGCGGTTGATTGCTAGTGCTGATATAAAGTAATTGATTACTGTTTGTAGAAACTAAGAAAAGTATGGTGAGATTAGGAGGGTCATTGCATTTTGTCTGCAATGCCTATTTTCTTCCTTCCAATTATGATTGTAAATGCAAAATTCTTGAGCATAATACACACACACAGGTAAAATGAGGTCCAAGTAAGGATTGTGAAGGATTGATTATATAAAAAGAAAACTAAAAGAGAAGACAAGATGAGCCACTCGTGGAAAGTCATTTATACCTTGAAACGAAGTGATGATATTTAATGTCTCCAAAGTCATAATAAAGCCACCGAAAGTGAATCATGACTTGAAGACGATAAAGGAGGAGTCAGGAGTGGAACTGCTTTCCTTGGTATGTCATTCCGAAGCGCCAATATGGAGGAGCCACATCATAAGAGGCAATGGTTTTGCCGCCTTTGAGAGTAACCTCGAAAGAGAGAGACTGTCCAATGAGGTCAAGAGAGGAGTGCCAATTCTGTCCCCAGTTTCTGGCCATTGGGATCCAAGCCGTTGTATGGCCCTTCACTTTCACTCCAATCACTTCCCCGTCGAGGCCCACATTGCTTATCAACACCTGGAAGAAGTGGGAGCTCCCGCTCAAGCTGAATCTCAACCCGCCTCTCCGCCCACACTTGACCCTCCTGTACTGTACAGGTATCATCTCGGCTCTAGTTTCTGCGATCCCTGTGAAAGCGGCATGAGATAGTTCCAAGTGCTCCTTTGGGAAGTTGCACCAACCTCCGTAATCGGAGGAGAGTCCCGAATTGGGAGGACAGAAATCGGTGGCGGTGACCACCACGGAGGGGCTGCCTTGAAGGCACCACCGGATGTGGTTCACGCACCGCACTTCTAGACAAGCTCCGCAGCTGCTTCCCCTGTTGAACAGCTTCCCGCTCAGGCCTGCGCTGTACCCGCCAAAGCTGCTCTGCCTCAGATCTCCATACCCACAAGCGCCTCCTATTAGGACCAATTAGTCTAGTCAGTCCTGATGAAAAAAGAAAGAAAAATAGAGAGAGAGAGAGAGGAAAAAACCAGTAGCGACGGAGGAGGAGCCGTCCCTGTCTCTAGAAAGCGTGGCTGTGGCTATCTTCCAGTCATCCTCTGCAGTGGCTTGAAAGAGGCGGCAGAGAATGAAGAAGAGGCACAATGCGAGTTGCTGAAGCCCAGAATCCATGAACAAGAAGTGTTGTTGGGATCCTCACAGTCACAGGTGGCAGACAAAAGTGACGCGTTTGAGAGGGTTTTGGGGGTTCCTTTTGATCATCAGGCTCCGCTTTTCAAGACTGGTGGGGATGCGACAAAAGATTGCTCTGACATGTTTTGACTTTGACAGTTTCCGTTTCAGACCAATTATAATAAAAAAGGGAACAACAACACGTTTTCCAGGCCCATCTCATTCGGCGGCCCACTTTCAATCCGATGCAGAATCAAGACGCGAGACAAACTTCTTGGGCCCTTTTTTTTAATCCAATGAGTCATGTATTTCACAGTCAAATCATAATAACTCTTCAATATGGAGCAACCAAAAATTGATCCAAATCTTCCGGCCGCTGATGGCACTAGCCTCGTCTCGTGTGATTTATCTATCTCAAACTTCTTGGAACGTATTGATTTGATCCCATAAACGGGATCACCATCCCATATCATGTATAACGACCTAAAAATAGAAAAATTGTACGTGAAGTTTTAAAATAATCTCTCTCGCGCCTGATTTCTCTTCTTATTCTTGCATCTTTTTTCTTAATTTTGGTTTCTCCAGCTTCTTCCACCATGAGTAGTCATCTTTTGCAAATTATTGAGACGGATGATACTGAAAAATGTTGTTAAAGTTACTGAAAATGAAGAGTTATGCACAGTGGCGGAGCTAGAATTTTAGTTTATAGGGGTCATATATAATTAATTATTTTTATTTAATTATATATTAATATTAAATCATTTATTTAAGCTAAATAAAATATTTTTAAGAACAATTTAAAAAAAAAAACTAAGGAAAAAAAATAGAACATATCTAAAAAATTAATATGTACCATGATTTTAGAGATTTGTAGCCATATATTAGAAAAAATATAAAACAAAAAATGAAAAATGAATTAATGCTAAATAAAAAATAAACATGTGAGGGGTCAAATTAAGGAATTGATTGTTGGCATGGGGGTCATTATGGAAAAATTAAACTAAAATATCCATAAATTATTGTCATTTACCTTAAAAAAACAAAAAAATCATAAATGTTATGGGGTCAATTGACCCCCTTCCCTCTTCACTACCTCCGCCACTGGTTATGCAAGATGGGAGCACAAGATGTTGCAATGAGAATAACAAATAGCATTGATATATCTCGGAAAGCATACGTGTCTTCAACTTTTACCGTGGGAACAGATGTTCATAATATTCATTCTAACACCGAAGGTATTGTGTATTTCTTCAATGAGATAAGTGAAGGTATGATTAACACAATTGGCTATTGACAAGGTAAAGACGTGGAACATAGATAAAATAAAGCGCTTGCTTAAAAAACTTGATGCGGAAGTGATTACCAAAAATAAGAGAACCAAAAAGTACACAATAAGAGAAATATGAGACAAAACTGACGCAATACTTGCAAAGTCAGTCTATGCCATAAGGCACCAAAGCGACCGTTTAGGGCATCATTGCATATATGGAATTATTCTTCTGAATATTGGTTAGGCTGTGTGCACATTTAGTTCATGTCATATAATATTTTTTACTTTTTAAATAATGTTTTACTAATTTGTTTGTTGTTTAATTAAAGATTTTCAACCATGTATTATTTTGTAAAGTCACGTGGATCTACCACTTTCGTTGGTGTATGAGATAATTTGAACAAAAACCTATAAATATTAGTTTTGTAATCTTAAAAATGAAATATATATATTTTTGTCAATAAAATGATATATATATATATATATATATATATTTTAATTCAATTTATAATGTTAGCAATTTTAAATCATTTGTGACAACTAAATAATATAATAAAATATTATATTATTTATCTTTTATAAATACGATATCATGAAGAAGAGAAACAACTGATGAGGTACGGAAGTAGAAGATTGAAGTTGTTGACATTTATTTTCATAAAAGAAAAAAAAAACTTAGCTAGGTCTTGCATGCAAATGCAATTCCAGTTTTTTTTTAATGTAGTTTTCTATATTTTCATAAGAGGTTCTAAGGGGTTTTTGAATGTAGATTAGAACATGTTTAGCGGAAATTTCTCATTGTATTAAAAATATAAAATAATAAAAAAGTAAAAAAAAGAATAAAGTGATTGAAAATCTTTGTAGAAACTCATTTGACACATGTCTCAACATTATTTATTATGAATTTTATTTCTAGTTTAAATTTTAAATTAAAAAATTATATAAAAATTATTAAAATAATATATTTAAGAGATTAAGAGAGATTCTTTCCACTCCACATGCTCTAATATATCCATCTAAAATTCAATGATTAAAACATTTACAATGACAATGAATTTGAATGTACTTTCCGAATCACTCTTACAATTTTTTAAGAGACATTTACAAATAAAATAATTGGATACCATGGAATTTGTCATTTTAATACAAAATATATTTAAAATGCTTGTTTGATTGAATACACATTTTAAAAAACTTGAAATTGTCGTGAAGACACTCAAATCAAACCGAGACGATGATGTCCTTAAGGGGCAGAAGAGTGGAAGAAGGTAGCGGTTTGAGGTGGATGAGAACATGTATATATGAATCTTCTTTGCTGGGACGACCGTGACCCGACTTATCCAGCGTCCCATCTCTATAGACAAACACACTCAATTCATCCTCTTCCATGCGACGCCACTTTCTGTTTTTATCTTTGACACGTTGCAGCGGCATGCCTCTGCATCATCATCATCATGACTTATTTGAGCTAGGTCACATCCATCTATCTAGATCATTATTCTTTTTTGTTTTTGTAAATGAGAAAGGGGTATATATCCAGGTGTACCTGACATGGAAGAGATCAGAGACATCAAGAAAGAAGGCCAATGCGTCAATAAAAGCCTGGTAGGTGCTGATGTGGAGGCCGTCGATGTGGGGATAGGGCAGTCTGGGCCTGGTGGTGGTGGTGGGAGATGAGAGGAAAACGTACTCTTTGAATCCTCCTCCTCCGGTGGCCTGAGCGATGAAGCCCATGGTGGACATGATAGGTTCGAGCTCCTCGTGTTGGGTAAGCTTCATGAAGATTCTAGAAGATATCCTTAAAGGAAATAGGAATCTAATTAGGAAAAGGAAAAAGTTGTAATCCTAATCTAAAAAGGAAATTAGAATAGGAAATTCATAACTATATAATTAGAGATCATAAGAAGGATGTATGATCATAAGAGAGCGAAGAGAAAGCTTGTGTTTAGTTTTGAGAAGATTTTCTAAACATTAATAAAGGAAGGATTCTTTATACAAACTTTGGCTTTGAGCTTTTGATTCTTTATTTGGTATCAGAGCAAATCCTAAAGAGAAAAGGAACTCATACGAATCATGGCTGAAGTAAAATCTGAGATCAATACGCTGACTTCATCCTCCGGCGTTAAATGTCCGATGTTGAATACAACAAATTACGCCGTCTGGACATTGAGGATGAAGGCGACATTGAGAGTTCACAAAGCTTGGGTTGCAATTAATCCAGGAACAGATAATGAAGAGAAGAATGACGTTGCAACAGCCTTGTTGTACCAATCCATACCAGAGAGCCTTACCCTGCAAATCGGCGAGCAGGACTCACCAAAAGCGATATGGGAAGCAATAAAATCAAAAAATCAAGGTGTAGAACGCGTCAAGGAAGATCGTCTCCAAACCCTAATGTCTGAATTTGATCGTCTGCAGATGAAAGATTCAGAGACCATCGATAGCTACTCAGGGAAGTTATCAGAGATAGCATCGACAGCAGCCTCGCTAGGTCAACCTATTGATGCACCAAAGTTGGTGAAAAAGTTTCTAAACAGCCTACCCGCAAACAAGTTTATACATCTCATTGCTTCTCTTGAACAAGTCTTGGACCTAAATAAAACTAGTTTCGAAGACATAATTGGGAGATTTAAAGCTTTTGAGTCTCGTGTAAACGGGCAAGCTGCTGCACAAGAAACTCAGCAAAACCTCTTGTTCTCAAATACGGAAGGAGACAGCAGTAGAGGAAGAGGACGTGACAGAGGCAGAGGACGTGGTCGGGGTAACAGAGGCAGAGGACGTGGAAGAGGGAGCTCACAAGACAGAGAACAAAAGGACAGATCTCAAATTATTTGTTTCCGGTGTGAGAAACCAGGTCACTTCGCATCTGCTTGCCCGGTTAAGATTCCAAAGGACCAAGAGCTCAACAAAAACGAGACAGAAGAAGCAGATACAGCCTTGTATATGCACGAAATAGTTTACTTGAATGAGGAGAAGGTAATCCCGGAAAAGTTCGAGTCAAACAAAAGAGAAGATGGAATTTGGTATTTGGATAATGGTGCAAGCAACCATATGACAGGAGAGAAAGGATACTTTTCTGAGTTAAATGAGAACATCAAAGGAATGGTGAAGTTTGGTGATGGATCTTGTGTCAGTATTGGAGGAAAGGGATCAATTCTCTTTGAAGGAAAGAACGGTGAACAGAGACTACTAACAGACATCTACTACATCCCAATGTTGAAAAGTAACATTCTTAGCTTAGGACAAGCTACAGAATACCGTTGTGATGTGAGAATGAAGGATGATTATCTCACCTTACGTGATCCTAATGGATGTTTATTGGCAAAGGTAACACGTTCTCCAAACAGATTGTACAAGATCAGCCTAAAAATAGGCAAACCAACATGTTTACACTCAAGAATTGATGAAGAACCATGGAAGTGGCATGCGAGACTTGGCCATATCAGTTTTAAAACGCTGAACTCGATGTCTACACAAGAGATGGTACAAGGCATGCCTAAAATCACAAGTAAGAAATTGTTGTGTGAATCATGTTTGGTAGGGAAACAGACGAGACATTCGTTTCCAAATTCAACACAATATAGGTCTACACGAGCATTGGAATTACTACACGCAGATTTGTGTGGACCTATATCTCCAGCTACACTTGCTAGAAACCAATATATCTTTGTAATAGTGGATGATTACACTAGATATATGTGGACAATTTTGCTCAAAGAGAAGAGCCAAGCCTTTGAGAAGTTTCAAGCGTTTAAAGCTCTTGTCGAGAAGGAATATGACAAGAAAATTGTAACTTTGCGCACAGACAGAGGCGGTGAGTTTACATCAAGAGATTTTCAAGATTACTGTAACACAAGTGGAATCAGAAGGCATCTTACAGCTCCCTATACTCCTCAACAAAATGGAGTAGTTGAGAGAAGAAATCGTACGTTAATGGAGATGACGCGGAGCATTCTTAAGGCAATGAATGTTCCAAATTATTTATGGGGAGAGGATGTAAGACATTCAACATATTTGATCAATAGAGTTTCGACGCGAGCTCTAAACACCGTATGAATGCCTAAGAGAAAGAAAGCCAAGTATCGAGCATCTTAGGATTTTTGGATGCATTGCTCATGCAAAGGTGGAAACAGAGCACTTGAAAAAGCTTGATGATCGCTCACAAACGCTTGTTCATCTTGGAATAGAACCAGGAACGAAGGCATACCGACTTTACAACCCAACAACGAGAAGAGTGGTTGTTCGTCGTGATGTGGTTTTCAATGAGAAGGAGTCTTGGAATTGGAAGGGAGCAGGAAACGAAGAAGATCAACCAGGAATGTTTCGATTAACATGGGGAGCAGCTGTAGACAACGGACAAGGTCCATTCACGGACAATAGCTTGCAACCTGAAGTTGATCAAGAAGAAACAGAGGAAGAAGAAGTGCAGAATCACGACAATGGTGAAACAGAGATAGCACCACTGAGAAAATCAGGTCGACAACGTAATCTTCCAGGTTATCTCGCTGATTATGTACTTCTAGCTGATCTAGAATGTGAAATACTTCTCTTGTCACTCAATGACGAGCCACTAAATTACCAAGAAGCAAAAGAATCAGTCGAATGGACAAAGGCATGTCAAGAGGAAATCGACTCGATTAACAAAAACAAAACGTGGGATCTAGGTGAGAAACCACAAGGTGTAAAAGTGATTGGTCTTAAGTGGGTTTTCAAGATCAAAAGGAACGCTGATGGAACAATTAACAAGTTCAAGGCTAGACTTGTTGCTAAAGGATATGCACAAAGAGAAGGGATTGATTTTGACGAAGTATTTGCACCAGTTGCAAGGTTAGAATCAATCAGAATGTTGATTGGATTGGCAGCTTCACATGGTTGGGAGATTCATCATCTCGATGTAAAGACCGCCTTTCTACATGGTGAACTAACGGAGGACGTTTACGTTTCACAACCTGATGGATTTGAAAAGAAGGGAGAAGAACATAAGGTTTTCAAACTCAAGAAAGCTCTTTATGGTCTACGTCAAGCTCCTCGCGCATGGAACACAAAACTTGACCAAATTCTAAAGACTTTGAAGTTTAAGAAGTGTCAAAAGGAAAGTTCCGTGTACCGCAAGGAAGAAGGAGCTAAGATTTTGATTGTAGCCGTATACGTTGATGATCTTTTTGTAACAGGAAGTACATTGGAACTCATCAAGGAGTTTAAAGCTGGAATGTCTTCAAAGTTCGAGATGTCTGACCTTGGGAAACTTACTTACTACCTTGGTATTGAAGTGAGTCAAGGAATCAACGGAATTGAAATCAAGCAAGAAGCCTATGCTCGTCGAATTCTTAAGGAAGCTGGTAAGGATTGGATGCTTGAGATATCTCTTACACTCTCGACCGGATCTTGCATTCTCAGTGGGGATTCTGAGCAAATACATGCATGATCCAAGAGAATCACACGGCAATGCTTTGAAACAAATCCTAAGGTATCTACAAGGAACGGTAAGCTATGGAATCACATACAAGAAAGGAGCACCAGACATTGTAGGCTATAGTGATAGTAGCCACAACACAGACCCTGACGACGGTAGAAGCACCACGGGACATGTGTTTTATATCGGAGAAGCTCCCATAACTTGGTGCTCGCAAAAACAAGAAACAGTTACTTTGTCTTCATGTGAATCAGAGTTCATGACAGCTACGGAAGCAGCTAAGCAAGCTATATGGATACAAGACTTGCTAAGTGAAATCACAGGGAAGAAGTATGAGAAGACGATGATCCGCATTGACAACAAATCGGCTATCGAGCTCACCAAGAACCCTGTTTTCCACAAAAGGAGTAAACACATCCACAAACGTTTTCACTTCATCCGTGAATGTGTAGAGAACAAATTGATTGAAGTGGAGCATGTACCCGGAGAAGAACAGCGTGCAGACATTCTTACCAAAGCCTTGGCGAAAATCAAGTTTAAGAAGATGAGAGAAATGATCGGAGTTCAAGATCTCATGAAGAACAACTTGAAGCTTAAAGGGGTGAATGTTGGGTAAGCTTCATGAAGATTCTAGAAGATATCCTTAAAGGAAATAGGAATCTAATTAGGAAAAGGAAAAAGTTGTAATCCTAATCTAAAAAGGAAATTAGAATAGGAAATTCATAACTATATAATTAGAGATCATAAGAAGGATGTATGATCATAAGAGAGCGAAGAGAAAGCTTGTGTTTAGTTTTGAGAAGATTTTCTAAACATTAATAAAGGAAGGATTCTTTATACAAACTTTGATTCTTTACCTCGTGCGTCATAACAGGCTTGAAGGTTCTCGTGTGCCACAAGGCCAGTTTCCTCATACACTCCTCCATCATGCATGTCTCGAGATCCATCCATCCTTGTCAAATCGAGTGAGTGTAGGGATTATCGTTATTATTTTTGGTTTTTCTTTCTTTTGCCCTTGTCCTTGGTATTTATTCACCAAACTGCCATTCTTTGTGTCCCACGTGGCCTTCTTCATCCCCAAGTGTGTAATTAACTTGTCTGTCTAGTGGTGCGTAGTTGTTGCTGCAGAAGAATCTTCTCACCTTCCTCCTCCACAGTCCACACCCCCATGAGTCTTCGTCTTCTTCTTCTTCTCGTCGTTGTTCTTCAGCTATGCCTCCTTTCTGCGGTGGCCGGCGACGACGCAATCATCTCCAGATTCCAGGAGTATCTCCGAATCAACACGGTCCAGCCCAACCCGGATTACTACAAAGCCGTTGACTTTATAAACTCTCAGGCAAAACCACTCTCCCTCGAATCTCAGACGATCGAGCTCGTCAAGGGAAAGCCCCTTCTCCTCCTCAAATGGGTTGGCTCCGACCCAACCCTACCTGCCTTTCTCCTCAACTCCCACACCGATGTCGTTCCCTTTGAGGACTCCAAGTGGACTCACCATCCTCTCCAAGCTCACATCGACCACCACGGCCACATCTATGCCAGGGGTTCCCAGGACATGAAGTGCGTCGGGTTGCAGTACCTCGAGGCCATACGCAAGCTCCAGGCTTCCGGGTTTCAGCCTCTCCGATCCGTCTATCTCTCCTTCGTCCCCGATGAAGAGATCGGCGGCCACGATGGCGCCGTGAAGTTCGTCGAATCCCAATTCTTCAAGAGCTTGAACATCGCAATCGTGCTCGACGAAGGTAAACAGACACTCTTCTCGCTTTTATTTATAACTAGTAATACCCGTAACAGCCAAGCATCTTATATAAGTGAATCAGGCCTGCCATCGCCTACTGAGAGTTACAGAGTATTCTACGGAGAGAGGAGTCCCTGGTGGCTGGTGATTAAGGCTAAAGGTCCACCTGGCCACGGTGCCAAGCTCTATGATAACTCTGCCATGGAGAATCTGCTCAAAAGTATTGAGAGTATTCGCAGATTCAGAGCTTCTCAGTTCGATCTGCTCAAAGCTGGTGGGATAGGTGAAGGCGATGTTGTCTCTGTGAACATGGCCTTCCTCAAGGCTGGCACACCTTCTCCAACTGTAACTACTTGTCTCCATTTTCTCTTGATTCCAAAGTTGATGTCTTTATGACTGCATCTGACTATTTGGCTCTTTCTTTATCCTCAAGGGTTTCGTAATGAATCTGCAACCATCTGAGGCAGAAGCTGGTTTCGACATTCGTGTTCCACCCAACGTTGATGCTGAAGCACTCGAAAGACGTTTGGTGGAGGAATGGGCTCCAGCTGCACGAAACATGTCCTTTGAGGTAATTTCTTGGCCACCCGTATCTCTTTGTCCTTTTTTTCTAAGACAAAGTAGTTTTGTTACCCGAGAGTATGTATCTCTTCTCGACATATTTAACTAATTAAGATGTTAGCTGGGGCAGTTCAAGCAGAAGCTTACGGGGAAGCAATTCCTTACAGCAGCAGATGATTCAAATCCTTGGTGGGGGCTCTTGGAAAATGCTGTTAAGGAAGCCGGAGGTAGGACCAGTAAGCCTGAGATTTTCCCTGCATCAACTGATGCTCGCTACTTTCGCAAGGCTGGCGTGCCTGCCTTTGGGTTCTCTCCCATATCAAACACCCCGAGTTTGCTTCATGACCACAATGAGGTACATATAAAGTTCATTGATTTGATTGACATTGTTGGAGGATCATCATTTACTAACAAACGCATTGACGTTTTGCTGTGTTGCAGTATCTGGGTAAAGCTGAGTACTTGAAGGGCATTGACGTGTATGTTTCAATCATCAAAGCTTATGGATCATATGAAAGCAAAAGTGGTTCACGAGATGAGTTATGAGCCCATTCAAGAAGTCTTCCTTTCGAAAATTTGTACAATCAATCAATAAGATCTGAATCCATCGTGTGTTGTGGTAAATCAGAGACTTGTTATGAGACTGTTTGCAATTTGATCATTCCTGCCTGCTTTTTCTCAACTATATACATACATATTTGAGTCTGAAATCCATCGTGTGTTGTGGTGTTTCCCTCGTCGTTTATGGGCCGTACAAATTAGGCCCATTAGTACGAAATCCATTTAATTTAAACCGCTCCAGTCCTCCTATCTCTTCGTGAGTCTGCTCCGTTCCCAAATGTTATCGTCCTCCGGAAGCTCCCTCTTATGGCGGAGCCGTACACCTGCGCCGGCACCTCCGTCTCGGTCTCCGCCGCCGTTTAAAGCTCTCTCTTTTCCCTTCTCTTTCCCGCCGTTCGCAAACATCCTGCACAGAACCACAATATCCCCTCTTTCTTGTTCAGCTGAAATTTCCTCGGAGATTGCCCTGGCGCAGAGCCAGCCTGCCCCTGATTTCAATCGTAGGCCCTCTGTTCCTGCCTTTAAGATTATATAATTGATGCTTTCCGGTGAATTAAGGCATCTCTGTTTTTGTGTTGTGTAATGTTGGGTTCTAGCCTGGTCGGAGTTCGCTCAAAATGTGTCTGGCGAATGGGACGGTTTCGGAGCAGATTTTACATGCGAAGGGCAACCGCTTGAACTACCTGAATCAGTGGTTCCAGAAGCCTTTAGAGAATGGGAAGTGAAGGTGTTCGATTGGCAGACGCAGTGTCCCACTCTTGCCCAGCCCCACTCACTCTCCTTTCTTTACAAGTCCATCAAACTCCTCCCCACCGTTGGATGTGAAGCTGATGCAGCCACCCGTTACAGCATCGACCAGAGGATCATCGGGGGAAGCAAATCCTCTGCATTAGCCTTTTCGTATTCTGTCACTGGCTCCTATGTCGCTGTGTGGCCTTTGCGGAACAACCAGCTTGAGGTGGAGCATTGCCTGATCAATCCAAATGACAAGGAGTCTCGTGTGAGGATTTTCCAGGTTGTCAGCTTAGCAGAGACCAACATGTCCCTGCAGAGTGTCAAAGTTTTCTGTGAGCAGTGGTACGGTCCTTTCAGAGATGGCGATCAGCTCGGAGGTTGTGCCATCCGTAGCTCCGGCTTTGCTTCTACACCTACCACTGCAGCTTCAGTGGTTACCGGTTCTTGGAGAGTTCTACTTGCTACCACTAGCTTTCACGCCTCTGATTTCGTGAGTTGGCCTCCTTTTTTAAGTGTGTATTCGATGATTGCCTTAATAAATCTAAGTTTGTTTATTTTGTGAGTATGTTCAGGGTTGTATTCAACAAGTTACTGGCGAGAAGGTGATTGAGATTGTGAGAGAAGAAAAGGATCTTTTATTGCTTCCGCAAGAGATGTGGTGCTCACTCCAAGAAGGAAAAGACCGCGAAAGAGTATTTTCAGTAGGATGGGTGTTTGAGCCAGGCCAGGCTATCACATCCAGCTGCGTCTTCTCTAGCGATTCTAAGCTAAAGGTAACCAATATTCTTCTCTGTTGACAACTACATACTCTTCTCCTTGCAACTTGTGGTCATTATTCTATCTTCTATCTCTTTTACTTTGCGCAGGAGGTAACAGTGGCGAGAGAGACTGCTCTATCAGGTGTATGATCAATCATCGTTTAAATCTCCACAGCAATAATTTTCTTTATAGGATGTGTGCACATAAGTCAAATTACAATAATCTCATATGACTTCCTATCCTGATGTTTGATTCAGTTTTACTGTTAATAATACATATCAGTTCATTCTATAGTGCAGAGCCTTTGTTGATTCAATCTTTACTGGGAAGGATCCAGACCATGGAAACCATATTTCTGCAGAGCTTTGTAGCTTTTGCATATCTTCGCTCAGCTCTATCAACAATGAAGGTTTCACGCACACCGATGTATAGACTGTTAGTTTGGGAAAGAATTCGATGGAATTTACCTAGAAAAACTGAGAAAGACTTAACCTGTACATAATCGTGAGATTGCTTGTTTCTCACTGCGAGACGGCATTGTTCCTGAGGCTCATGTTTATGCTTTTCCTCATTGTTCTTCCAACAATGCCTTTCTGCATCATAGCTACAAACTCTCCGTAGTCAATCCTTCCATCCTGAAACAAGAAGAAGAAAATGATCCCTGGCTTTTGACCATATAATCTCCAAGCCAGAGGATATGTATGCATAAGTCTCTCACATTGTCTTGGTCGACTTCCTTGATCACATCTTCTAGAAAGACATCACTCATTCCCTGTTCAGCACATGCGTGCTGTAGCTCGTCGATAGTGATGTAACCGCTGCCATCTTTGTCAAAGTACCTGAAGGCTGACAGAAGGTGTTCCTCACGCTCTAATTTGTTCAGATGGATTGTTGCAGCAATGAATTCACCATAATCTATGGTCCCACTCTTGTCAATATCTGCCTGGCAAATCACAGTCACAGATTCATACTTAACATACTGATTTCAAGTAGGTACTCACACAGATCAGATCAGAGCAAAGTGCTTACAGCCTCCATAAGGTCACGAATCTCAGTATCCTTCAGGGTAGAACCATATCTTCGCAACCCAGCTTTTAGCTCGTCAAATGTAATCGCTCCACTGTTATCCGTGTCCATTGCTTTGAACATTTCCTTCAGTCCAGCAATTTCTTCCTCCGAGAGACTCTCAGCTATTACCTGAATCACAGCAGAAGACATTTATGGAAAATTGTTCATAATAAACGGAAAAAGGCTTGCGTCAGGGGACTTACCCTTAAAGCCATCTGCTTTAGTTTATTCATCGCAGAGAACTGCTTAAGACGAGAAAGCACAGCAGGATCTAGTGCTCTGTCTGGCGCAACTCCATTTTCACAGATCCAAGGATGGCCTGCAAAATTACAAGTAAGCTAGCAGATTCACTTATTCAGGACCTGAAATAGGACCAACTGGTTAGACTTACGCAATACTTGATGAGCTGTCAGTCGCTCAGAGGGCCGGGAACATAGCATGCCACGGATCAAGTCTTTTGCAGAGTCAGATATTAGGGGCCAAGGGTCGGAGTCAAAGTCAATATGCCCCTTCAGCACGGCATCAAATATCCCTTGCTGTGTTTCTGGAGTTTAAGCAAAACAGATAGTTAAGAATCTTTTACCTTGAAAGCCGCCTTATCAGAGTTGTTTCATTTGGTTGCATACCTGCCCAGAACGGAGGGACTCCGCTCACCAATATGTACAGTATGACCCCTGCTGTCCACACATCAGCCTCTGGTCCGTAGTGCTTGAGCAGAACCTCAGGAGCAACATAATACGGACTTCCAACCACATCCTCGAATATTTGACCTGAAAGTTGCAGATGATGTAGCAAGTTTGAAATTCTGACTGAATATGTTGCAAAAGATGCAGCTGATGTTATCACCTGGTTTGAAGAATACGGAAAGCCCAAAATCAATGGCTTTGAGAGAGAAGTCATCGTCCTTGTTAACCAACAAGAAATTTTCGGGCTTTAGATCTCTATGCATGACACCAAGCGAATGGCAAGCCTCAACAACACCAACAATGATCTTTATCAGCTCAGCTGCTTTTCTCTCACTGTAATGTCCTCTCTGGATAATTCTGTCAAACAGTTCCCCACCTGAGCAAAGCTCCATCACGATGTGAACATACAATGGATCCTCGTAAGCACCTTTAATGGTGACAATGTTCTTGTAACCAGCCAGATGGTGCATGATTTGAATTTCCCTGCGCACGTCTTCCACATCTTCCTTTGATATCAACTTTCGTTTTGTTATAGATTTGCACGCGTATTCACGCCCTGTTGAGATCTCTCTGCACATGTAAGTCGTCCCAAACTGTCCTTGACCTAGTTTGTGTCCCAACGAGTAGAGATCTCGGATGCTTGGGGTCTTTTGACCAAGAACATAGCAGGCTTGGTTCCCACCGCTGTGCTTCATTGTGTGCGCGTCTTTTGCCAGTTTGTGTGCTGAAGCAAATCGTGGAAAGACAAAATGATTAGAAGTATGTAAGTGTGCCTCGAGACAGATGGAGCAGCCAAAGAATGACATCAAACAAATCATAATCCAATCCCTTACCAAGTTAGTTCACCTCCCCTTCCAAATCAGTTTGCCATCAGAGGAAAACAGAGCAAGTCCCATAGCAAGATCTGAAACATTAAAAGATGGGATACAAATTTAGCATCAAAACCGAAACTTGCAGCTACATATTTCAAAAGATCATCACTCAGTAATCTCCCAGAGCAAAATCACAGAAAGAGGAGAGACATCAAACAGGGGAATTATAGGAAGAGATGGATGTGTACCAGGCAAAGATGATAAGAGTGGATGAAATTAAGTCAGATTGGTGCAGATCCGATGATACAATTTGTTGAACATGGTTTTGCAATATTCTCGCCAACGTCTCTACATCCTGACTAAAAATAACAAAAGAAGATATCGTTGATCAACAGATCTGTCTCTTTCTTTAATTAGAATATTCTAAAAATGCAGTGGACTCCACAAGGCTCTTTTCTTAGGCCTACTTCACATGTGACAAATCAAGACCTCCAATTGGTCGCATCTCCTGATCGGAACAAACCTTTAATGATCCCATGGCCTCAGATTCTAGTTGACGGGACTTTAGCAGTGAGATAAGGCTAAGGAGAGAGATGCGATTATGATCTAATAGAGAAGATGGGGGTCGACTGCCTTCATTGGCTACTTGCCAAAGATGAACTAAAAATTACTTCTTTGAAGCAACACGCATTATTTAGTACATATGCACATGTTTGAAGAGATATATACACTAGCAATAAAGAAGCCATAAGAAGTGGGAAGAAGAAAAACTGCATAGAATGATTTGCTTTCGTATAAGATGATACCCACAAGACAATCAGTTTTAAAACGACTGAAATATATATTTAAGCCTGACCCTTCCAGGGGTTCCCATAACTTCTAAGCCAATGAGACAGGTCACCAGAGCTTCCTTTCTGTTAAAGTTAACCCCACCCCTCTACAAACTCATCCGTAAATAATAATACAACCTAACAGCTGCTAGAAGGAGGCTGCATGCCCTCGAAAATCTTCTTTTGCTTTCATCTGCGTGTGAATGCCGGTTAGCACACAACTGTAAGCAATGG